AAGATAACTAAACCTATCTCTACAAGTTTTGTGTATTAATTTTTATACCAACATCTACACTGGGAAGGGGATAAAAGGTCTTAGAACTAGCAGGGACTGTATTTGAGTGGTGTGGGATGATATGGGGGGGCTTTTGTTCTTTTATCTATTCTCTAGGTAATTTGGGTAATGGGCTTATATTAATTTTTATAACAAAAATAATGGAATATGTAGGTTACAGACAAAACACCTACCTGGTTTCTCTTGGAGTTATTAATGTGCCTCATATCCGACTTTTTAAGGAGTAGTTCATTAACTGGGTTAGCCAGTGCCACAGAAATATGAGTTTCTTGGAGAAATAAATGGGATGAAGCTCTATATGAAATTGAGAAAACTGAGGAGGGTGGGAACAGGAAGGCAGAAAGATGGGAGGTAGTCATTCCATTTGCCAAATGAAATTCATACTGTCTTTTCCTCTGTATTCCAGAAAGTTCAAAATCACAAGCCACAGGCCGCAAGCAGTCCGTCTCTAGGAGCCTGAAGCACCTATTTCATTCCTCAAACAAGTTTGTGAAGACCTTAAAGCGGTAGGTCATGTGTGGTTTCTCCGGGAAGTCTTAATTTCACAGTGATGAGCTGCTTTGAGTGCTTAGTGGAAACTTGGTGGAAATTAATTTTGTTATTAAGTGAACAACGTTCACTTTTCTGCCCAGAATTTGAGCAAGACAGTACTTTCCCAGAGAGTTCTAGCCAGTGAATGTGCTGTTCTTAGCAGAAATAATGAATGGTTATAGGTATCTTTTAAATAATCTATAATATGCAAAAAAAATGTGTGTGCTTGTTTTCTAAGACTCAGGTTTGATAGAGAAGATGGTTAAGAATAACATCTCGATATTACTTTTTTGTTTAGGGGACTCTACATAGCCGTTATATTTTATTACAAAGACAATATGTTAGTCACCAATGAAGATCAGATACCGATTGTTGAAATAGATGACTCTCATACCAGTTCCATTACACAAGACTTTCTCTGGTTCACCAAGGTATATTGAGTTCTGATTTCATTTTTTCCCCTTTGCCCTGCTAACTGCACATAAATCTCTGAAACATTCGTTCAGGGGTCACCAATGATCCAAGTATTGGGGTGGGAACAAATTATCGCCCTGGTACCTTTGGTCTTAATATGACCTAAGCCATTAAAAAAAAAAAAGTTGCAAAGTACTGTCTGCACTATATTTTCAAAGCAAAGAAGCTCATGTCCTGTCAGATGGTGTCTCCACTCTTCTGAGTTATGGGATCATTTGGCAAAGATTAAAATGTGGATCTGACGGTTTCATTAGCATTCAGATCTTTTTCCAATTGGACAGAGATCAAAAAGTTGTTTTGCGTGTATCTGAAAATGGAGTGGAGAACACACACCAGGGGTCAGGTTTCCTTCTCCCTGCTTTGCTTTGATGCCACAACCTAAATCATGCTCTGGCCGGGACGACGTTCTGACCATGTGACTTCTTTTGCAGCTGTCTTGTATGTGGGAAGACATAAGGTGGTTGAGGCAAAGTGTACCTATCTCCATGTCCTCGTCCACGGTACTGCAGACTCGGCAGAAGATGCTGGCAGCAACAGCCCAGCTCCAGGTGAGGGGCCAGGCTTCTCACCTGTCTTTGATCAGTTCCGTCGTCCTTCCCATCGGCCACTGGAAAGGAAAAGACTGCCCGGCGCTCCCAGGAAGCATGGGAGGGTTTCCTGGCGAGTTTGAGCAGCACACCTCCTCATCTGGGGAAACTGTGTCTTGGGAAGTGGTGCAAGAGGAGCAGGAGTCTCTCGTGATGAGTCTAGGAATGAGTCCAAACATAAACACAAGGAAGCTTGAGCTCCAGAGTTCATGTTAACGAGTTGATTCATTTCCCTTGCCTGGGTCTCTGGCATATCTTTCCAACCGAGAGAAGTGTACATGCGTGTGTGCCATCCATACATGTACAGTTTGCTATGTGGGATGCAGGTCTTTGTGAGACGACGAAACTTTATCAATCCACTGCCATCCAGACAATTCTGACTCCCGGTGACCCTGTAGGTCAGGGTAGAACTGCCTTTTAGGATTTCTCAGACTATATCTTTATATCTTTTGGGGCTCACGAAAGCCTCAGCTTTCTCCCTTGGCACACCTTGTGGATTTAAATTGTTTGCCTTCCCCCAACTCATAATGCACTACACCACCAAGGATAGAGGGGGCCACCTGAAAGACTTTCAATGACATAGCCATGAATTTGGCGTATCGGGAAGCTATATAATCTGCATTTGCTCGGTTTATAGCAGCCACCGCATAAAAATAGGTGCCAAATAACAAAAAAACATTCATGTTTTCTGACCAAAAGAACATTTTAACACTTAAAAAAGTCATTTTAACACTTAAAAAAGCATTTGTTTCCTCCCTCACTTGCCCCTCCTGTAATTAAAGAAACGCCATTCCTTGAACCCCTAACATCATCATTTGACACCTACAATGATCGTAGTCATTACTATTACAACTGTTTATTCCCAATTATTTCTGAAAGGTAACTTGACCTTCTTGTGCTATCTATACTCCATCACATAGGTGGTTACTGCTGTGCGTCCTCAACAGCCTCAAAGCTAAGAGCAAACAGTATTCTTCGTGTCAGCTCACTGTGGACTGCCGAATCTTTGCCTTCACCTTGGGACGTTCTGAGGTCTGGACCGTGATGACGGTGTTAATTCAGACCACCCCTCCCTTACATCACTGACCCACTTGCTCGGCACCATGCCACTCTCCTCAAAGTTCATTTCCAGGCGATTCTCTGATCCCTTAGTAAAGTTCTCTCCCAAGAGGCTCAGATCACTTCTTGGACTACCAGACATCAGCCCACCATGAAGCATTTCTGATAAATTGCCTAAAGAAATCTGAAGAGAAGAGTTGGAATTCATCATCCTCCTTCTTTTTTTCCTTCTGTTTAGACGAGAATGTACAGAACAAATCGGTTCTCCATTCGACAATTTGGGTGCATTTTGATTCATGGCATTGATCGCCATCCGCGCAATGTAACATCACTCTTTCCACTTCCTTTCTGTGCATGTTGCCTCCACATTCATCCTTTATTCCCAGCACCTCCTGCCTCCTGAAACTTAGCTCTTGGCAAATGGTTCCCTTTTGACCTTGTAGGGTTGGTCTCTCTGGGGAGTCTATACCTCCCAGGTCTTATTGATGAACCTATAGGTCCGCCTGCTCTTTGGATGGAAGTTGAATTGTTGGGGAAATTCCATTTCAGGCTCTAAGGGGGTCTAAGGGCCCCGGTCTCAGGGGTTCCGCTGGCCGTGGTTCAACCAGGAAGCCTGTTTTTCGTTTCTGTTTTTACTATTTTGAGTTTTTATTCTGCATTGTCTCCCACTTTATCTGAGACCTGTCCTTGTGATGTCATTTTTGTGGTCTCCGGCTCATGGAGGGTGAGGTTCGCATGGTCCGTTAATCTTTGGACTAATTGTTACCACGTGTCTTTGATTTTCCTCCCTTGTCTTTACTCTGGATGGAGCGAGACCAGCAGCTGAACCTTCGACAACCACTTGCAAGCTTTTAAGACCCCAGTCACTGCTCACTAACATCGTATATAAAACACGGTCTTTGTGGGCTTCTTCATGCCAGTTGAAGTTGGTATCCCTGAAACTCTAGTCCTGAGCTCCTCTGCACAGCAATGCATTCCCTCAAGGTGTGTGGCTATGGTGCAGAAGTGTTTGTAACTTTAACCCCTGTACCTTCTACTCTACTCATGGAGATACTTACACAGCATGTAAACACACACAGAAATACCTGTATTCTTGGTGTAAATCCATTCACTCTCCATGCCTGTTCAGCTTTTGTGTCTAACTAGGTATGCACTTATAGGTGACTTTTATGTATATCGCGGTATTTTCCTTTGTTGCCTTTCACCCTCCAGTGTCTTCCTTTACCTCGATCCTTCTGTGCTGACTCCCCGGCCTGATGTTGTCTTTACCTTCATCCATCTTAACACATGTCGACCCCCTCGTTGATGTTGTACCCTCCCTCCTTCTCCCAGCCTGGTAACCATCAAAGTATGCTCTTTCTTGAATTCTTGTAGTGATCTCATGCAGTATCCGTCTTTTTGTTATTGATTAATTCACTCAACAGAGTGTCCTCCGGTTTCACTCGTGGAATGAGTGTGCTCCAAACAGGTCTACGGAAACCAGACGTGAAAGAGAATGGACTGTCTCCTCCAATTTTTGAAGCACCCTCGGATGAAGTGTTTCACAGATGAATTGTTATTCTTTAACGATGTGTCTATACCATCGTTTATTTATCCAGTCATTCATTGATGGCTGCTCACAGGTTATTTCTCTCTTTCTGCTATTGTGAATGTTGCCGTGAATGCGATGCAAATACGATTGTTTGCATCATGGTTTTTATTTCTCTAGGACAGATGCCTAGGAGTGGGATTTCTGGATCATACTGTAGTTCCGTCTCCAACACTGAAGGACGTGTCCTACCCTTCTCCACAGTAGTGCTGTGGTCTCCCAACATGCAAGAGGCTTCCGGTTTCTCTACATAGTCACCAGCATCTGTCGTTTTCTGATTTTGTTAGGGACTTTGGGTTTTGTTTGTTTGGTTGGTTGTTTTGTTTTCCTGAATTTTACAATTAATGCTTCGGGAGACAGTGTTGCTGTTTACATTTGCATCTCTCTAATGCTTAATGTTTGCAAGCCTTTCTTCCTGTATTTGTTGGCTGCCTAAATGTTGTCTTTGGACAATTTCCTGTTTGTGTCTTCTGCCTATTTTTCAGTTAGATGATTTGTTTTACTGTTGTTGCGGTGTTGAAGTTTTACATACATTTTAGAGATGAGTCTCTTGTCCAAGGTGTCGTTGCCAACATTTTTCTCTTTTGGTGAAATCTTTTGATGTGCATAAATGCTTATGTTTTTTTAAGAGGTCCCAGTTATGTCCTTTGTCTTCTGCTGTTTAAGCATTTTCAATTATGTTGGATCGTGCATTTATGCCATATACGAGGCCCCTATTTGCCCCTGTTTTTCATTGATGCTCTTTATGGTTGAAATTTTACGTCTTTGATCCATCTTGAGTTTTTGAATATGATGAACAATTTGAATCCTGTTCTGTTGTTATGCAAATAGAGAACTAATTTTGCTAGTACTGTGTCAAAGAAACTACCTCTCCCCACTTAATAGGTTTCTACTTTGTCGAAGATCAGCTGTTTCTAGGTGCTTGGACTTATTTCTGGGTCCTCAAGTCTGTTCCTTTGGTCAGTATGCCTGTCACTTTAACAGTACCACTGCGGTTCTGACCACAATCACCACACAGTAGGTCTTGCGAAGAGGACAGGCGAGACCTCCTACTTCGTTCTTTTTTAGAATTTCTTTGATTACATGAGGTCTTTTTCATTTCCATATAAAGTAGGTGTTTGGTTTTCTGTCTCTTTGAAGGATAATGATGGGATTTGGATTAAGATTGCATGATATAGGAAGAGTGCTGTGGGTAGCATTGACATTTTCACCAAGGTAAGTCTTCCAACCCATGACACAATATAGTCTTCCATTTGTGTAGGTCTCTTTTGGTTTCCTTTAGTAGTTGTGTCTTGTCATTTTCTTTGCACAGGTCTTTGATAGCTCTGGTTGGATTGATTCCTAAATACTTTATCTTTCCAGTGGGTGGCTATTTTCCTGATTGCCCGTTCAGGACGCTGTGTGTTAATGGAGAGGAATCCAATGATTTGCACATTGATCTTGTACCTTGCCACTTTGACGAATCCTTCTGTTAGTTTCCATCATTTCCTAATTAAACTTCTGGGATTTTCTTTGCATAGAATCAAAGCACCTGCAAATAGAGACAGGTTTATTTCTTCTTCGCCTATTTCAATGCCTTTGATTTCACTTGGTTGCCTTATTTCTTTTATTGAATAGGAGTGGTGAAAAAGGACATGTTTTCCGTCTCTCTCTGTTTGAATGAAGTTTACTGCTGCTTTTGTGAATATGCCCTTAATTATGTTGAGGACTTTGCCTTCTCTTTTTGTTTGCTCAATATTTTTATCAAGAATGGCTGTTATATTTTGTCAAATGCCTTTTCTGCACCAATTGACAAAGCTACATGGTTGTTTTGTTTTATTTGTGCTGTGGATGACACTTCTTATTTTCTAATGCTGAGCCATCCTTACCGACCCTGTGGAAGTCCCACTGGTCATGATGTCTTATGTGTTTTTCAATACATTGTTGGATTCTGTTGACTGGGGTTTTGTTGATAAATTTTGTATTTATGTAGAGGTACATGGATCTAAACTTTTCTAGTTTGGTGGAATTGTTACCTGGTTTTGATATCAGGGTTGTAATTAGTTTGGGAGGATTGCATCCTTTTCTATATTCTGAAACTGTTCGAATAAAATTGATGTCAGCTCTACTCTAAAAGCTTGGTAGATCTCTCGCTCGCTCGCTCTCGCTCTCGCTCTCTCTCTCTCTCTCTGGGAGGGAAGTCTACTGCTGACACTTTACGATGATCACACGGAGCCAGGCAGTGGATGGAGCCCACTCTGACCGAAAAGCAAACGTTTCCTGCAGTTCAAATGTCACCTTTTCTCAATTAAGTGTTCGCTGTAACCTTTCGGCT